GACTATCTCACTAATAAAAACTGAACTTTAGATTTACATTAATTTAAATATTGATTTCGATAAAGCATATAATACTTTCAAAGAAATATGGTTGTTTCTAGAGGAAATGCATAACACAGAAAAAAGATGTACACTTAAAAGGCATTTTTTCTTTTTCTTTAAAAAAAAAAATACTTTATATATTTGAAGTGTACTATATTTTTTCAGATTTTGAAAAGTACTATAAATTTCTTAGAAAATGTTGGCAACCCTAAGCCATTCCCTCCCTCTGCAAAACTTTCGCTCTCGTTCTGAACTGGCTCCATTTTGGACAGATCTGGGACATAAAATCTTTTATGAGGGAAAATTTTCACGATTATTTTCTTTTACAGATTTAATATCATTTTATTTTGTTCTAATTTTATTTTAGGTAAATTTCATAATTTGTTCTTCAACTTGGTTTTGCAATAGTTCACAGAAATTTGTTAGGCGGAACTTTCACTTTGCCAAGGGTAGTATAATGTGGTACTTTTGCAAAGCTATCTTATGTTTTAAAACTAAATATCGTAAAAATTTGGCTAATCTACTCTTTCTCCAAAATTACATACATTTTGGGACAAAAAGCAAGAACAACTAAAAATGTGATAAGTGCCAAATAATACAAAAACTTTGCATTAGAAAGCTATACCTATCTAAAATGAGAATTTTTTGCACTGGCTCGGAACTATGCGCCGGAAAAGGGATGCGCCGGGGGCAATTGACACTAGGTAGGGCCTCGCAATGATAACTTCGCCAGTCACCAGAGTTCAAAAGACAATTAAAAGTGTAAACAGAATCAAGTCGCTGAGCGAACTTCGTCGGAAGAATGGAATGGGAAAATTTGCGGACTCATGTTTTCGCCTTTGTATTTTTATATTTTTTATTTGTATTCAACTGATGCGAATTTAGTTTCGGTTCTGTTTTAATAAGCGAAATGTTGTGGCGAATATCACCCTACGGAATCGCTCCGTCCGACGAAATTCGCTTAGCGCTTTTGTTTGGTCCAGTTCGGCACTAGGGCGTTTCCCTTCAGGGTACATAAATACGTACACAGCGCACACGATCTTCAAAAGTGACACAACTCAAAATTTGGAATCTTTGAAATTATGCACGAAAAATGTACACAGAGCTTTTATTTACTTTTCGGCTGGAGCAAATTTTTGTTCTAATTTGTTGAAAAAACCTAAGGTGAAGTCTTCCTTGCCCTTATGACTAGCATGTGCTAAGAATGGGTTTTCGCATTTTCTGAAGACCGTTTAATTTTGAGTTGTGTCTCTTTTGAGGTGTGCGATATGCTTGTTAAAAGCAAAACAACAACTTAAGTATGTGAAACTCAATTTGTGACTTTCGTGTTCAAAGACATAAAAAGCAAAACAGAAGAAATATAAACCAAAAACAATAACGAAAACAGGGGTCCAAATTAGTGGTATGCGGCTTTGAACTTGATCGATTTTAATTAAAAACTTAACACTAAAAAATGTACAATACCTTCACATGTACAAGTATTTTTATTTATTTTTACTTTTTGCTTAATACAAACCCAGTAGGAAAAATACTAATGCGTTACATGCGTCAAGAATATTGTATAATATTTCTTATGAGTTTTAGATTATATTACTGATTAATATGTAATCAGCATACTAATGTATCCAAAAAGCAGTGTTGCCAAGTTTTGAGTTTGAAAAAGCACTAAAACCCAAGAAAAATCGCGCATTTCTCGAAAACAAGCACGAAATTTGTATCGGAGTATTTAATGGGCTTTATATGCATAAACATTTTTTTGTAGGGATGAGGGATTAGAGGTATACGCCGCCGGGCAACGCCGCCGCCACCGAGTTACGAAAATATTGGCGCGGCCGCGGCGGCGGCGCCTAAGGAATTTTGTACAAAATTTTCATGATGTATGTACATTGAAATACATCGTTTGAAGGAACTAAATACTACTCGTATAAAAACACTATTTTACGAAATGAAAATTACATTTTTAAAATAAGTGTTTTTTTCATAATTTGGGCCACTGAACATTTCAAAAAAAAGCCTAACTCAGAAAAAACATAGGTAACACGTTTTTCGATCGAAAGCGTTTATTACAGTTAAATTAGGGTCGAATACTGGTAATCTGACGATTTCTTCCGCAGTAGAAAATTTTTTTCAATTCTACAACAATACTACATTTTTATATACTACATCAACAAGAAAGTTATATACATCAAAAACTTTAACGCCAATATCTCAGAAAGCAGTTTTAACAGAAACGCCCTTATTGCATCTAACTCCTCAATTATTGGAGATAAAACAAAGGATAGTTGATTTTCCTGTGTGTTTTTTTAAATATTTTAAACAGAATTT